TTTTCTTCGGGGGTGTGACGCCCCTCTCTCACCCGCGAGACGCGCGAATTTTTCTTTATCCCATTCTCGCGTTCCCGCTTCCACGTTCCGTCTCCCGCTTTTCCGACGGTTTTCTAACGCGTAACCTGCAAGTCGCAATTAATTTTCCGCCCGCGCGAAAACGCGTCGTCCTCCCGGCGACGATAAATCAAGCAACGGAGTTTCAATTTGGCGCAACGAGCCGAAGCCACGCCGAGAATTCTCATTACGAAACGCATGTCGTTAATCAATGGAATCGGTCGCCCCTGTGTCCCAAGCGGAAAAACGCTTGGACTATGTGCACTGTTGCGATGTATTCGGTGATACGATGGATGCGTACATGTATACTTACTTCATATACGTACTTCGTATACGTACTGTTTGATGATTTCAGAAGTCGGGTGAAGCGGTTCTATACATATAAGAGATTCTCGTCGTAATTCTTATTTAGGAATTTACGTAAACTCTTTAATGCAGACACAGAAAGAACGATTTTTCTAATGAAATATCTACAAATTTAACTATGAATTACACGTCTGAAATTTTTTTGAACTATCAACTCGTCGTAATTCTTATTTAGGAATCCACGTAAACTCTTTATTAATGCACACTCAGAAAGAACGATTTTTCTAATGAAATATCTAAAAGTTTAACTATGAAAAAATTTAACTACAGATCTGAAATTTTCTTGAACTATTACATAAAAATAATTATGTAGAAACTTAGGCATAATGAGCTGCGAAACATTTTTATATTCTCTATATAGCAATTAGCTTGAACATCCTACATAATTATTTTTTCATCTGTATCTAGGTAAATTTTTAGGCACTTGAGTAAAACTGTTCTTTCTGTGCGTGATTCGTTATAAATGTAGAACGTCTCTCATTTCAATGAAAAGTTCTGTGGAAATTAATGTGAGACTAGTATCGTTATACTGTCGTTAAGAGTTATGGAATAAGATTTAGCAAGTTTATAGCTACGTTACTGTTTAAGAAATCTTTTTCAGTTTTGGAACGCGATATAACCGTGTAGAAAAAGTATGACGCTTAGTTGCAATATTGGTATGAACGATGAATTTCTCGATGCGGCACACACACACACACTGTTTAATCTCGATATCGACGGTGGCACGGAGAGGTCGAAAAGTTTCACACGTAGCGCAATGTCAGTCGAGTAACGAGGTCGTTTGCGCTTGCGAGCGCGCGCGGGCGCTTGATCGGATAGCTTGCTCGGCATCTTGCTTACAAGACACGTAGCATCGGCAGGGGTTATCGAAAATTTAATAACGTTCGAATTAATAATGCTGGTGTTGCTGCGCGCGATGGCGGGTGCGAGAGACGGAACGCTACATCGCGCTTCGTCGGAAGAGCAATCGGGCTAATAACGCACCGGTTGGAGCGGACGGATAAATTAAATTAATCATGCATCACAACATGCAGGAGTCGGAACTTTAGATCCAATCGTACATTAACCGAATAAGCCACGCTAAATCTTCCTTTCCGGGCACAATTGATTGGTACAACAAGATTATTGCGATATTGCTAGTTGTTAATCGATTAAGAATATTCATTTTTAGCGTATCTATTTCTTTAATGAAAATTATTGATTTCATACTTTGACAGTAACGCTCATTTGTTGTTAATGTCACGTGTTGTTAATGACACATCAATTTTCCCGGCAAACTTGAATAACGTGCGATATAAAAATATAAACGTAACAATACGATTAACTGAGCAATTTTTTAACAATACGATTAACGGCTATTTTTTTTTTACTTTTTTTTTTATAAAGGGAGTTTGTAAATTAATCATTTTTTTATTTTGCTTTATTTTGTAACGATCGTGAATTTTTTAAGTTTTCTAAACAGTGCTCGAACTTTGTAATTGGACATGGCGTTACGTGTTGACGAGCTTACTTAATTCCAAGCGTTGTAAATCATCAGGGAGTCATGCCGTGTGGGCGATAGTTGCGGCGAAAAAGATATTCCGCTGGTCATTAACGTCCGAGCAGGAACTTCCTCATCCGGTAGTCGTTATCGCTATTCGGAGGTTCGCTTCTGCTATTTTTGCGGATGCACCGTTACGCTCACTGTGAGAATATAGCGTTTAAAACGTTTAAGTTACTCTCTTGCACCAACTTCAAGTTCCGTGCGTGTGAATATCTCATGAGGATCACCGATTTTGTATTAGAACGAAAAAAGATAATAAAAAATATGATAGTAAAAATAAAGTTTGTGACTAATTTCCGTGGCTATAAAAAAATAAATTGCGTACTCTTCAAAAAATTACAACGTGTGGCGAAAATACTGTTTTTCAATTATTATTTTTCGTTACAAATCACAAGAGGTTTCGACTGGAATTTTAGTGATTATTACAATTTTCTCTTTCCACATTGATAATTTAAAAAATATATTTTTCTAAAATTAAAAATATTCTAATAAAATTAATAACTTTTTCTACATTTTTTAAATTATGTTATATCTGAAAAATGCGTGTATATGCATAACGAATACGTTTTTTGTTTAACGAAAAAGGTAGAGTCTCTCAACGAATCATTATATTAGTATATCTAATAACACTCGACAAAAAGGGAAAAAAACAATTTCATGCGATACAAATGTAGATTGTGAAAATGAATGAGTCTCGCGCATATATTGTTGCACCGGCTTGGTAGCGAAGCTGTCTATGAAAATTTTAATTGGACTACGTATATGAATATCACGTATAACGTCGCTGTCAGACTAATCGGGTAATCTACTCGTCTCGCTGAAAGAATCAACGTGCCTTTTAGCTTAATTGTTTCTCGGAGCTCGCTCGTCTGCCGCGCTAATACTATTAACTCTTTATAGTTTCAACCATTAGAAGCTGGTTCCGGCAGGAGGAACGATAAGGATACCCGGCATCTTAGGCAATGGTTATTTTTCAAAAGAAAATGAGGACATCCGACTTTATTCATCGCTCGATTATAGTTCTTCCGAGTTCATCTCTTTCAACCACGCGACGAAAGAAAATGCGCGAGTGAAAAATAAATGAATAATAATTTATTATTAATATACGATCAATACTGTTCTAAAGTTGTTTGTTTTTTTTTTTTTTTAATGTTTTCTATACTCGCGACAATTTTCTCCTATATTTTTCCTCTGCATTTTATATTTTTAGTACGCTTAAGCGGTTTATGAGGCAAATTAGCAAGCTGCCTCGCAATTTGTGGTCCGATAATTAATCGTCCAAACAAATCCGTGCAGCTTGACCATTTAATATAATGTCCAGACGTGGTCACGATCTTGACCAAGAGACAAGTATCGACCGACGCGACGTTCCCTATTTGGAGAGCCTCAGCGTCAAGTCACTTCTTAAGACGTTTCAATTGTTCAAAGTTCCATTACTGTTCAGAGCTTGTAACTTGATTCGTTTTGGCCGTCGTGGATCTTTAACTAGTGGATCTTTTCACGTTCGAGTAAAAACGTGTCACACCTTATGTAGTACTGCACGAATCGCAGATCTCGCGTTGCTCAAATTAGATGGAATTCTTAAACACGCAGCGGATGGCGTAGCGACGTAATTGCAAAAACGTGATACGGCGGTAATTAACAAGAAATTGTGCCGCGATGTTAGAGTCAAATGAGATATGGTTTTTCGTAGGTACACTGTAGTGCTGTTTGCGTGCGATGCTTCAGTTTTTAAGCGTTATGCTATTTTTCAGTTCACAACCAAAATAGCTTTCCTGAAAGAAATTCGTTTGATCCGATATAATAATTTAGTTTTAACATCCAGTTTTTAAATTGTAAATATCATGTTATATACATATATATTTAATAAAGAAAAACAAGAAAATTTATTTTTCTCCATCTATTTAAAAATCCGTCGTTGCTATAACAGAAACATTGAAAATACACCTCCGTTGAATAAAAATGGAATTATCATTAAAATATGAAACTTTATTTAATTGACACTTATTCTCGTCTCGCAATTGCAGATTTAATTTAATGAAATAGCACTTTATTATTTTGTTTAAGCAGATCAAAACGTAGATGTGTATTGATGTGTTTTGATATTTCTGGATTTCATTGGATACAATGAGACACATTATGAAATATTAAATTATATAAATAAAATAATTACGGAAGCTCTCAAATAATATTATACATGGCGTATATATTAAATTTTCGACGTGTCAGACTGTTCGATTGCTTTTTGAAATTACAACATAAACAGCAGCACAATCGGGTGAAATGAATATTGCACTAGAATTAATCCAATCGTTCATCGATCGGATAATCGATCTTGTAGAGTATGATAGAGGAAACAGCGTTTCACAAGAGCGAACGCATATCAACCGATCGTTATTAATCTGCGGGAATAAGGTGCAGGAGTTTCTAATCTGTCCCTACCGCGGCACGTTTACGGCGTAGATTTAATCTGCATTGGATTTAATTAAAATCAAGTGCTTCCACAGTGGCATACTCTCGTTGACAATTGCATGCAGATTGGATTAAGCTCGGAATTAGAACGGAGAGCGAATTCACGCTCCGCGCGAACCCGGGTGCTCGTTTGTCCATATTAATATTCGAATACGTGAAACTAGGGCGAATCACGTTGTAAACTTTCGCGATAGAGATTGTCAATGGCGGTAAGATAATCCGGAATGAGCTCGGATTGTTGCCATTCCTCGCGTGTGAGAGGTTTCTCTAATTTTATTTAATCATTACACAATCTCTTTGATATTAGATTAGATCGCTTAAAGCTGCTTCAATGTTATTTAAAATTCGTAAAGTCCGATAAATATATTAACAATGTTTTATATTTAACACAAGCCATATCTCATACCTAGCTGTCTCTCGGGAGACTCGCGATGTGACGTTTGTACGCTACAAACTTGCCACTTGCACAACGATATTCGGCGATCGAAGTTTCCCATACTCTAAACTCGAAACTTTCAAACGATTTGTCCGTACCTAATCGGAACTTTCATTTCTGTTGCAGATCTAGACGGTTGCTGATCTGGAAATCTTGGCGATCTCTCGCTTTCCCGCGCATATTCTCTGCGTACGTGGGAGGTCGAAGTTTTCGCCGATAATCCAACTTGGCATCTGCCGCTTAACAAGGTATACTATAATTATCGAAGATATGAAGAGGACCGTTTCGTGAGCAGATATTTGCCTCGTAAGACGCGTTTCGGATAGTCTGGCCGGTTCCTAAGGTATGTATCTTAAGTCTATCGTTCTCTCTTTCTCTCTCTCTCTCTTTCTCTTGATTGTATCAGTGGATAACTAAGCTAGGTACAGTCGTCCTTGTAGCGTATCACACCGATAAAATCTATGTTAGGACTTGCTAAGACTTTCTTGTGTGTGTTATCTATGATAATAAAACTCATCTAAATTGACGCCACTTGTAGATAGCAAAGTTGAGGCTAGAGATAAAAAGTATTAACAAACTGTCTATCTCAAGTCAAGCATTTTGTTACAGACAGATAAATTTAGATATTTGATTTATTAAATAATATTTTTTGCGAAAAGCTTCTTATAGATTTAAACAAATAATATATATATGTTGTACCTATTGTAACTGTATCACAGAAAAAAATTGATTAGGTGGCTTAGCAAAGCTAGAGTTTGCTGCGCTTCCGCATCTATAAGGATTTAATGATTCAACAAAGAAATTGTATCTGTTAACGGTCTGTATGCTAATTCAACTAATTTTTCTACAATGAAAAATTGCTAAAGTTTTTTGTCATTACAACAGTAAAAGTACGTGCTATTTTAGCTAACATGTTTTGTAAAATTTAAATTTTGTTCTATATATTGGATTGATTTTCGTAGAAAGTTATATTCTTGTATATATTATACTTTGCTGTATTAACAAATTTGCTGTGCTATTACAACAAATATGTATGATACCTATAATCACTAATTTTATTCAGCTGCATAACTTTGCTAGTTTAACACAGAAAACTAACTATTCGTATTACATCTGTAGATTGCAAATCAGTTTTTAGTTGTTTTAACATATTTTTTTCTATGATTAGTTACTGATGAACATTCGTGCAAAAGATTTGTCTGATTTGTTGCTGAAAATATTATCGTATTTTCCACTTTTATTTTATGGATAGATCTTTAAAAAAATAATACCTGTGATCAGGTATCATCAGATTTGTTCTTATCGTGCATAAAAATTGCTCTAACAGGACGGAAAGTATTACTATTTTTTGATCAAATTATATGTTTGAGTAATATGACGAATCGAACTCTACAAATAGAAAAAAAGGGTTCGTGTACTTGTTACTTGTAATAAATGAACATATGAAAAATGCATGTCGGCGAGAGAATGATCGTTATGCTAATTTGTGAAGAAAACTATAGTTTTATACATCGAGGATGATACGTGATCTGCACATGGATATATCTATATACATACATGTCTGTTGTAATTAAAGTTGTCCATTATATCGATGTGATAGGCCATTTCTTTGTTTGCTCAATCCATTTCTATCGCATGTCACTTCGATCCCGCTGATAGAAAAGTATCCAGTTCAATTTCAATCTGTAGAGAATTACAATGAAGATGATTCTATGTACAACGATGGCATAAATTTGAAATGCCACACACCGGTATACATCTCCAGTAATTAATTATTATGTTACATATTATAAAATGTGTTTGTGAGTTTACACACTTTATATCACGCGACATTTTTCATCGTAATGAACAGTGGCAAATAGTATTTTTGCATTATTCTCTCAGCAACGAGGTTTTTGCTTTTGATATGTATATTTTATAACAAAATATTTTATTCACAAATATTTGAGTTATATCTTGCATGTGATGCATATGATGCAACATCAAAGAATAGCTGCGTTTCCTAATTACGTTATGATTTTTAGCGCAGAGTAGAGCTTTATACTTGATTATTATTAACACGAAAATTAGCATAAAAAATAATTAAATTATAGTTGCTTATATATCTCACATTCTAAGATTTGAAATTATTTTTAAAAAATTACATATTTTTTGTTTACTGTCGTAAATAAAAAAATATTTGAAGATTTAAATAAATTTGTATCTTTATTCAATAGGAAAAACTGTTTCTAAAAGTGTTGGGAAATTTTCTCTGTAATTAATCATTAAATCTTACATAACATGTTAATTAATGACTGTATTCTATTTATGGAGATCTTTAACCTTTGTTGATCGCGACTGCTTTTACATTTCTATTGATATATAATTATGCACAACATACCGTGTTTATCGCACAATTATTTATATCCACTTCGATGTGGAAAGCAAAAGAAAACAATCGATCGCTTCTATAAGTCAGCCACCTCGACTAGCCTTGAAAATTCTGGACTTTATTTCCGCTCCCCACGATTTGAGTTATACTTGGCGAGACTAACGACCCTTTAATTATTCACCTCTAATTGCGAATGCTCCTTGTTACTGGAACGCATGCATTATGCGTGGAACGCGTGTTACATCCGTTTTCATTCCGCCTACACTATCTTTCCGTTTTATTCTAGTGAAATTCAAATTTTAAAAATGCACGCATTTATTAAATATTAAAACATGAATATTAACAAAGAAATAATATATAATTTAAACTATCTCATATAACAAAGATTTTTTTAGGTTGAATTTTAATAATTTTTTAATATATGATAATATATGATATGAATATATATCTATTATTTAGCTATCGTCAAACTCATTTACCATAGTTGATTTAATGAACTGTAAATGGCAATTCCTTTTGTGTTTTAATTTCTGAGACCGTGTTTATGACAGTGGCTTTGCGAGAATAATTTTATGCTTCAGTCTACGACATCGATATCGACATATGATAGGTTTTATGATGCGTTTGATTATAATCCCTGTCAATTTTACGGTGCAAGTAGTCTAATCGGGCTATCGTATCTTCTTGTTCGTAATAATTAGATTTATTCAATGTTTTGCGATATAATCGAATTTAACCGTTAATTAATTTTCTGTTTGTCTTGATGCATAACGTCTGATTAAAACGTAATTGTTCGAGTTATGAATTATTAACG